TTTTGGAGATTAAGCCCTTGTCTGAGGTATCATTGGCAAATATGTTTTCCCATACAATTGGTTCTCTTTTTATTTTAATACTGTTTTCTTTAGCCATGCAGAAGCTTTTTATTTTTATGAGATCCCATTTGTTTATTCTTTCCTTTATGTCCCTTGCTCTAGGGGACATATCAGTAAAAATGTGGCTGCATGAAATATCTGAGATTTTCCCGCCTATCTTTCTTTGGGATCCCTGCTAACATAGCCGGATGAAATAGCAGTGAGAGGTCAGCACAGAACACAGTTCTGATCCAAGAAAGCAGCAAACACTTAACTTAAATGATTTCTTTAGTAACAATATCCAGTGCCCAGCTGGTGGTTAGAGACATCATTGGATGGCAGAGCACACAGGTCAGATTTGCAGAAGACATGCTCTGGCCTCCAAAGGAGAGTTTATGGATTACAGAGGTGGGTGTGGGGATGAGGCATGTGGGGTAAAGTGCCACAGATCATCTCCTTAATTATCCTGCTCCAAGATGCGTGCCATCATTTTAATGCAGAAATCTATAATGTTATGACTGACTTCAGTCAAGATGCAGGTGTAGGTAGACACATGGTGCCTCCTTGAACAACCAAAAGAAAGACAACAACAATTTAAAAACAAAAAACAACCAGTACTGACAGAAAATTGAAGTGTACGGAAGTCCAACAACCAAGGAGTTAAAGCAGATATATTTATCCAGGCCAGTAGGAGGGGTGGAATTGAGCAGCCAGGACAGAGAGGGCTTGCAGCAAAGACTTGGCTGGTGGACCCCAGGTGCAAGATGGTAGCTGTCAGACCCCAGGTGCACCAGTTGGCGGGCTGTAGGGGGTGCGGCATGCAGGCAGCTGGCAGATCCAGTAGCCCCACATTCTTGTGCAGATAAGCCAGGTGAAACTGGGGAGCAAGACAGACCCCACAACCCATGGCCCCAGCACAGGGAAACAAAGCCTCAAAACACTGATCGAAAACACCTGTGGGGGTTGAGGTGGCAACGGGAAAAACTCCCAGCCTCACAGGAGAGTTTGTTGGAGAGACCCACAGGGTCCTAGAATGTATGCAAACCCACCGACACGGGAATCAGCACCAGAAGGGCCCAGTTTGCTTGTGGGAAGCAGGGGAAGTGGCTGAAATTCAGCATAGAGTGGAGCAAACACCGTTATTCCCTCTCCAACACCTGCCCTGCATACAGTGTCACAACCCAGCGATGTGAGTTGCCCTGCGCTGGTGAACACCTAAGACTCCGCCCCTTACTACAAAACAGGCCCATCAAGACAAAAAAAAAAGTCCCAAATGAAAGAATAGATCAAAGGTCCAGGAAAAATACAACTTAGCGATGAAGAGGTAGCCAACCTATCAGATGCACAGTTCAAAACACTGGTGATCAGGATGCTCACAGAATTGGTTGAATTTGGTCACAAATTAGATGAAAAAATGAAGGCTATACTAAGTGAAATAAAGGAAAATGTACAAGGAACCAATAGTGATGGGAAGGAAATTGGGACTCAAATCAATGGAGTGGACCAGAAGGAAGAAAAAAACATATAATCAGAAAAGAATGAAGAAATAAGAATTCAAAAAAATGAGGAGAGGCTTAGGAACTTTCAGAACATCTTTAAATGTTCCAACATCTGAATTATAGGGGTACCAGAAGGAGAAGAGGAAGAGTCAGAAATTGAAAACTTATTTGAACAAATAATGAAGGAGAACTTCCCCAATCTGGCAAAGCAAATAGACTTCCAGGAAGTCCAGGAAGCTGAGAGAGTCCCAAAGAAGTTGGACCCAAGGAGGAACACACCAAGGCACATCATAGTTATATTAGCCAAGATGAAAGATAAGGAGAGAATTTTAAAATCAGCAAGAGAAAAGGAGAGAGTTACCTACCAAGGAGTGTCCATTAGACTGTCAGCTGATTTCTCAAAAGAGACCTTACAGGCAAGAAGGGGCTGGAAAGAAGTATTCCAAGTCATGAAAGGCAAGGACCTACATCCCAGATTGCTCTATCCAGCAAAGCTTTCATGTAGAATGGAAGGGCAGATAAAGTGCTTCTCAGATATGGTCAAGTTAAAGGAGTTCATCATCACCAAGCCCTTATTATATGAAATGTTAAAGGGACTTAACTAAGAAAAAGAAGATAAAAAACATGTACAGTAAAATGACAGCAAACTCATATTTATTAACAACCACACCTCAAACAAAAACAAAAACAAGCTAAGCAAACAACTAGAACAGGAACAGAACCACAGAAATGGAGATCACATAGAGGGTTAGCAACAGGGGGGTGGGAGGAGAAGAGGGGGAAAGGTACAAAGAATAAGTAGCATAGATGGTAGGTAGAAAATAGACAGGGGAAGGGTAAGAATAGTATGGGAAATGTAGAAGCCAAAGAACTTATATGTATGACACATGGATATGACTAAAGGAGGGGAATGTGGATGGGAGGGGGTGTGCATGGTGGAGGGGAGTGAAGGGGGGAAATGGGACAACTATAATGGCATAATCAATAAAATATATTTTTAAAAATCTATAATGTTCTGTACCCACTGCCATAAAGCCAAAATTGGATTTGCTGGATATGGTAATTCTGTTTAATTTTTTTCTGTGTTTTCCACAGTAGCTGCACCATTTTACATTTCTACCACAATGGTACAAGGAGGATTCCAATCTGATATGATTTGCAAACATTTTCTGAATTCTGTGAGTTATTTTTTATTAAGCTGAGAGTGTCCTTTGGTAAACTAAAGTTTTTAATTTTGATGAAGTTTGATTTATCTATTTTTTTCTTTGGTTGCCTGTTCTTTTGGTGTTATAACCAAAAAGTTGTTACTAATTTCAATACCATAATACTATTCTTTTGTGTTTTCACCTAAAGTTTTATAGTTTTAGTTCTTATGATTGGGTCTTTGATTTATTTTTGTGTTAACATTTGCATATAGTATAAGGTAAGGGTCCAACTTCATTCTTTTTCATGTGGATATCCCATTTCCCCAGCATTATTTGTTGAAATCAACATCCTTTCCTTTTGAATGGTCCTGGGAATCCCATGCAATTTTAAAGTTCAATTCACTAAAATTTTTATTTTAAGGTCTTTGAGGAAACAGAAGTTCAAACATAACTGGAGGCTGAAGCTCTTAGATGATTACAAAATTATGTTGTACTGTAAATGACTGAAGCTTACAATTTTTTTTATTATACCATGGAGTTCAACACAATCAATCATTCAAGAAATATAAGTACATATTCTAATATATGGTTCTACAGTTTCCCTTGGGTCACAGCTGGAGAAGATGGCTGGAGTAGCTAGGAAAATCTGACTTGCACCTTAGCCTCACAGCAGGCTGTGTGGCAGATACTGCTCCAAAGAATGCCATCCCTTTAGTTTCTGGAATGTGATGCAATGCACTGGATAAAGCATGGATTCTTTTCATGCCAAATGTGTCCCAAATCTAGAAAGAAACCAAGAAATACCTAAATGTCAGAGAAATACGGGAGAATGTTATTTAAGCAAGAAATTATATCTAATTATACAAAATCTGTTAAGTAATGTATTACAGAAAGATGCATCATACTAACCATTTTGTTCTTATTCCTACTCTTCTATCTCCATTTCTTTGTTAGATAACTTAAATGAGTACTATTATTAAAATGGTCACATTTTAGTCACATGACCAATCCTTAGCTCTGCCTTTGATAAAATGCAGTTGATAGGCTGTACTGATTCCTATTTAAAATGCAGCATCTGTGAAAGCATATTTTTGCATGCATTTATCTAGATTTCTTTAGCTCACTAGGAAAATGAGACATAATTCTTTACCCTAACTTTAGAAGTTTTAAACTATAGGGGAATGAACAATCTGGTGTGATGGTATTTGAGAGCCCAAGGCCACTTAATACCTTTTCCCAATATAATAACCCCAATTTGTTTAAATTCAATGAACCAAGAATTACTCTTTTAAAAGTTACCTATTTATAAAGTGGTTTACTACCAGTTACAGTTTCATGGAAAAGAGTTTTGATATTTGTATGAAGACACTTATAAAATAATGGACTTTTCTGAGTTATTTACAGAAACATATGGTTTAATAAAAGAAGGAAAGTAGAAACTGTTTACCTCCCTACTCTCTGTGTTTTGGATTTATCATCTTCCTCAATAAGCTTTTCTTGAGATTTAATGTAAGAAATTTGCTTTAGTAACTTTTGCTTCAATGATTTCTACTTTAATTTACACAATGTCAGGATTTAAGTGACAGTTTGTGAAAATATTTTAAATGGAGGAAAATACACATATATTAAATATTAAAGTACATAATTAAGAATTTAAGGAACAAAAATCAGAAACATGGTATGTTTGTCCTTTTTTATTTACAGAAATAAAACAGTGCTTTTCCTGTAGAGTTGAACAGTCAACCCATTCATCAAGTAAATCAATCAACAAGATTGATTTAAGCTCTGGTCTTGTGGTCATTATCCCCTGCATGATGTTCTTTCAGAATTTTTTTAGAAACAATCTACATGTCCCTTTTCTAACAGTTTCTTAGTCTCAGCCTTTCCATTTAATATTTAAACTTACCACAGTAATCTTGCAGCCTGCCCCACAGTTTGCTGCGGAATAAACAGGAACCACTAGACTAGATTTTACTGTCCTCCGCACTCGGGAGATTTTAACCAGAACTCTAGACTAAAGGACGCAGGGCTACACTGAAAATCCACTTGGAGCGTCCTGTACACTTTTTTTCGTAAACGGATCCCTGTCCCTAGGGAGGAGCGAGACCCTCCTTAGCGCTGTCCCGAGGCCCTCAGCTCCTTTCCCTGAGTTGTCCACTGTGGTAGGTGCATACCTCTGCCTTTGGGCTTGTTGGGACCAAGCCTCGTCACGCCTCCTGTCCCTGCACCTGAAAGCTCCGCCCACATACCAGCTCTGCCAATCTTAGCGCAGGCTGACGGGGGTGCGCGCGGGGGAGGGGGCGCGGCGCTGGGGCCGGATGGAATCCCGGGCCTTAAATGGAAGGCCTGAGGGCCAGACAGGAAGATCCCTGGACCAGCCTTTGCTGGTGTGTTTTGGCAGCCCCTGCCTCCGCAGGTGAGCACCCCCTGGCCTGGGCCTGGTGCGGCTAGGCCACCCCGGGAATTGGGGCGGCCACCAGCCTTTGAGGTCGGGGGTTCAGGATTCCAGAAGTGGATGTCCGCAGGTCTGACGCGGCGGACCTCTGGGCAGTGGGAGCTGCCGCCCCCTGCACCGCTTCAACATCCTCTTGAAGCGGCTGGCCGATGCGAAGGGCTGGGAGCGGGGCGGCACGCCTCTTGCCTTGTTTGGCCCGCAGCAAACTGTGTTTCGTGACCCTGAACTGTTTTTCAGACCCCTGGTGACCCTTACTCTGTCTGGTCGTGGGAATGGGAGTCTCCGGGCTGCTTTTCTCCTCTCATGTCTTTAGCCTTCCTCCACAGGCCTTGTGTATATATTTGCGAGGATAAATGAAATGTTTTCACTCCATTGTAGAGGCTGTAACATCTCAGAAAATAGGGTAGCTTTTTAGAAGATGGAACTAATCAGAGACTCATTTCTTTTTCCTTCTTAGGTTTCTGAAACATGAATCCTTCACTCTTCCTGGCTGCCCTTTGCTTGGGAATAGCCTCAGCTGCTCCAAAACTTGATCACAGATTAGCTGTACGATGGAACCAGTGGAAGACAACACACAAGAAACTATATGACGAGGTTGATAATATCTGTAACTGTTCGGAGGGAACCCGCAGAAAATGGCACTTGCTGTGGAGAGTTTAAAGCAGAGTAGTTTCTTGAGACCAGCCCTTACCGAGGCCATAACTTCATAACACCCCATCACTGACACAACAGAGGCATACATCCTTGTTGTGTGGGTGCTGGAGAACAACTCCCAGAAGTATAAAACCTTCCCTGACAGTGGTTTGTCTTCCTCTCTGCTGTAAATCCATTTGATGAATAAACAGGAACCACTAGTGGAGGTGAGTTGGTTTAAATAAAAATAAATGTCATAGCCTATTTCTTTGTCTCTAGAATGAAGAAGGATGGAGGAGAGCAGTGTGGGAGAAGAATATGAAAATGATCGAAATGCACAATCAGGAACACAGCCAAGGGAAACATAGCTTCACCATGGCAATGAATGCCTTTGGTGACATGGTGAGTGTGGCACGGGAGACTTCAGTTTTTGGGCTCCCTGTCCTAGTACTTTTCCAAATCATCTCTTCCTTTATAACATTCTATTATCTTTCCCTTGAAGACTAATGAAGAATTTAGGCAGGTGATGAATGGTTTTCAATACCAGAAGTACAGGAAGAGGAAAGTGTTTCAGGAATCTCCCTCTGCTGAGATCCCCCCATCTTTGGATTGGAGAGAGAAAGGCTATGTCACTCCTGTGAAGGATCAGGTATGACAGCATTCATCAGGTCTCTCTCTAAGAGTAGAGTTATAAAGGAGTTGCTTTCCATGAAATGTAGACCATGGAATAGTGTGCAGTTTCTATTTTTTAAATATACCAGATGTTGCCAAAGTCTTGCTATTTGTTTTGTAGACTAAGCACTTTTGAATTTTGTTTTCAGGGTCAGTGTGGTTCTTGTTGGGCTTTCAGTGCAACTGGTACCCTTGAAGGACAGATGTTCCGGAAAACTGGCAAACTTATTTCCCTGAGTGAGCAGAACCTGGTGGACTGCTCTCAGCCTCAAGGCAATTATGGCTGTAATGGAGGCCTAGTACATAATGCCTTCCAGTATGTCAAGGACAACAAAGGCCTGGACTCAGAAGAATCTTATCCATATCATGCAAGGGTAAAATACACTTCTTATATTTAAAAAAATTACAGTTATTCTATTATAGTTTTCCCAATTTTCCCCTCTTTGTCCCCCTCTGCCCAGCCCATCACCTGCTCCCTCAGTCATTCCCTACACTATTGTCCATGTCCATCAGTCACCCACACATGTTCTTTGACTAGTCCCATCCCCTTCTTTCCACCATTATCCTCCTCGCCTCTGGCCACTGTCAGCCCATTCCATGTTTCTATGTCTCTGGTTCTATTTTGCTTGTTGGTTTATTTTGTTCTTTACATCCCTCTTATAAGTGAGATCATATGGTACTTGTCTTTCACTGCCTGGCTTATTTCAGTTAAAATATTCTCCAATCCCATCCATGCTGTCGTGAAAGGTAGGAGCTCCTTCTTTCTTTCTGCTGCAACATAGTATTCCATTGTGTAAATATACCAGTTTTTTGATCCACTCATCTACTGATGGGCATTTATGCTGTTTCCAGCACATGGTTATTGTAAATAGTGCTGCTACGAACACAGAGATGCATAAGTTCCTTTGAATTGGTGTTTTGGGATTCTTAGGGTATATTCCCAGCAATGGAATTGCTGGGTCAAAAGGCAGTTCCATTTTTAATTTTTTGAGGAAGCTCCATACTGTTTTCCACAGTGGCTGTGCCAATTTGCATTCCCACCAACAGTACACTAAGGTTCCCCTTTCTCTACATCCTCACCAGCACTTGTTTGTTGATTTATTAATGATAGCCATTCTAACAGGTGTGAGGTGATATCTCATTGTGGTTTTAATTTTCATCTCTCTGATAGCTAGTGATATTGAGCATTTTTTCATATATTTATATGTCCTCCTTGGAGAAGTGTCTGTTCAGGTCCTTTGCCTATTTTTTAAATGGATTGTTTGTCTTCCTGGTGGGAGTCATATGAGTTCTTTTTAAAAAATTGTTGTTCAAGTACAATTGTCTCCATTTGCACCCCCCCTATGCCCCCCATCCCACCTATTCCTGCCTCCCACACTCAAACCTACCCCCTTTGGCTTTGTCCATGTGTCCTTTATACATGTTCCTTGATGGCCCTTGCCCTGTTTTCTCCCATTATCCCTCTTCCTCCTCCACTCTGGTTACTGTCAGCTTGTTCTTTATTTCAATGTCTCTGGTTATATTTTGCATGCTTGTTTGTTTTTTTATTAGATTCCACTTATAGATGAGATTATACAGTATTTGACTTTCACCACCTGGCATATGAATTCTTTATATATTTTGGAGATCAACCCTTGTCCAATATATCATTAGTAGATATATTTTTCCATAGAATCAGGTCCTTTTTCATTTTGATGATGGTTTCTTTTGCCATGTGGAAACTTTTTCATTTTATGTAGTCCCATTTATTTATTTTTTTCCTTTATTTTCCTTGCCCTAAGGAGATATAGCAGCAAAAATATTGCTATGTGGCATATCTGAAATTTTACTGCCTATGTTTTCCACTAAGACTTTTATGGTACCATGGCTTATATTTAAGTCTTTTATCCATTTTGAGTTTATTCTGGTGTATAGTATAAGTCGGTGGTTGAGTTTCATTGTTTTGCATGGACCTGTCCAGTTCTCCCAACACCATTTATTGAAAAGACTATTTTTACTCCATTGTGTGCTTGTGCCTTTTTTTTTGGCAAATATTAATTGACCATAGAGACATGGGATTATTTCAGGGTTCTCTATTCTGTTCCATTGATCTATGTGTCTATTCTTATACCAGGACCAGGCTATTTTGGTCTGTTAGTTTTATGAGATATTATGATCCCTCCAACTTTATTCTTCTCTCTCAAGGTTGCTGAGGCTATTTGGGGTCTTTTTTGATTCCATATAAATTCCATGTACACTATCATGTTGTCTGCAAATAATGACGGTTTTACGTCCTCCTTCCCAACTGAGATGCTTTTTATTTCTTCTTATTGTCTGATCACTGTAACTAGTATTTCCAGTACTATGTTGAATATGAATGGTGAGAGTGGACAGCTTTGTCATTTTCCTGATCGTAAAAGAAAAGCTTTTAGTTTTTGCCCTTGGAGTATGATGTTGGCAGTAGATTTCTCATATGTGGCCTTTATTATGTGGAGGAATGCTCCCCATACTCCCACTTTTCTGAATGTTTTTTACCATAAATGGGTGCTGTACTTTCAAATGCTTTTTCAGCATTTATTGATATGATCATGTGGTTTTGTCTTTCCTTTTGTTTAGGTGATGTATTATGTTTATTGATTTGCTAATATTGTAGCATCCTTGCATCCCTGGGATGAATCCCACATGATCATGATGTATGATCCTTTTAATATATGGTTGGATGAGGTTTGCCAATATTTTCTTGAGGATTTTAGCATCTATGTTCATCAGCAATATTGGCCTGTAGCTTTCTTTCTTTGATGTGCATTTATCTGGTTTTGATATTAGGATGATGTTGGCCTCATAAAAAAGTTTGGGAGTCTTTCCTCTTCTTGAATTTTTTGAAATAGTTTGAGACAAAGAGGAGTTAGTTCTCTTTTGAATGTTTGATAAAATTCACCTGTGAAGTCATCCAGCCAGGGCTTTTGTATGCTGAGAGGTTTTTGATCACTGCTTCAATTTTGCTAGTTTTTATCAGTCTACTCAGGGTTTCTGCTTCTTCTTGATACAGTTTTGGGTGATTGTATGTTTCTAGAAATATATTCATTTGCCCAGGTTTTCTAATTTCTGGGCATATAGTTGCTCATAGTAATTTCTTACAATCCTTTGTTTTCCTGTGGTATTAATTATTACTTCTCTTTCATTTCAGGTTTTATTTATTTGGGTCCTCTCTCTTTTTTCTTGATGATTTTGGTTAAAGGTTTGTCAATTTTGTTTATCTTTTCAAAGAATCAGCTCCTAGATTTATTGATCCTTTGAATTGTCCTTTTAGTTTCTATGTTATTTTATTCTGCTCTGATCTTGATTATTTCCTTCTTTCTACACACTCTTGGCTTTGTTTGTTGTTGTTCCTCTAGACCTTAGATGTAGGGTTAGGTTGTTTATTTGAGATTTTTCTATCTCTTTAGTTAGGAGTATATTGCTATGAATTTCCCTCTCAGGACTGCCTTTGCTGTGACCCATAGGTTTTGGGTTGTTGTGTATTCATTTTCATTTGTTTTTATGTAATTTTCTTTTTCTTCCTTGATTCCTGTGCCTATGTTTATCTATCTATCTATCTATCTATCTATCTTAAAGCAGTCCTTCATCTTCTTAAAGCAATCCTTTTAGCATCTCTTGCAATGCTGGTTTCATAGAAATGTATTCTTTTAGCCTTATTTTTTTTTTTTTGGTCTGGGAAGCTCCTTATTTCACCCTTCATTTTAAATGTGAGCCTTGCTGGGTAGAGTAGTATTGGTTGTAGGCCTTTGCTTTTCATTACTTGGAATATTTCATTCCGTTCCCTTCTGGCTTGTAATGTTTCTGTTGAGAAATCTGATAGCCTTATCAGAGCTCACATGCATGTTACTAGCTGTTTCTCTATTCTTGCCTTTAAGATTCTCTCTTTGTCTTTGAATTTTGACATTTTAATTATGATGTGTCTTGGTGTAGGCATCTTAAATTCAACCTGATTGGGATCCTCTGTGCTTCCTGAACCTGTATGACTTTTTCCCCTCAGCTAGTTAGGGAAGCTTTCTGTCATTATGTTTTCAAACAGGTTTTCTATCTCTTGCTCCTTTTCTTCTCCTTCTGGAATCTCTATGATGTGAATAGTTATGTTCCATATTGTCCTGCTGTTCCCTTAAATCTCTGTGGTAGTTATCCTGTGGTACTCAGTGGTACAATCTCCTGAACTCCTGAGCTGGATACTCTAGTGATTTCCTTTATGCACTTTATGTGGGCTCTTTTTTGTAATTGGGTTTTTGTTGGCTTATTCATTGTTGGGCTCTCCCCTCTGGCTGGCTGACTGAGAGTGACAACCCCCACCACATCTGCTGCATGCTATTGTACAGGAGCTGCCAGAACAAAACAAAACACCCCAGCAAACAAAACCCACAGTAGTAAAAATACCCCCCAACCACTACCATGATATCAACAACAAATGAGCTAATATTTATGAAGATGTAAAGAGAATAAGAATATTATATGAAAGGAGAAAAGAATATAAAGTAAGCAATGGAAAGAAAAATGATTTTGAGATGGTAGGGGGAGGAAAAATAATAAGAGTAAGGAATAGAAATAAGGTGAAGAAAAGGAGAAAATACAATTTACCACATAAATAAAATAGGAAGGGAATAGGGCAAACTGGAATAAGACAAGGAAAAAGTACAATATGAAGATTTGTAGAAAAAATCATGAAAAAATAAGAACCAAATTGAAGAAAAACAACCATAGCAGTGATATCCACCACAAAGGAGCAAAGATTGATAAAGGTGGAAAGATAATAATATTATAAGAAGGAAAAAAAGAAATAAAAGGGAAAAATGATTGTGAGATGTCTGAAGTAAAGAAAACTGATTTTGAGAGGATGGGCGAGAGAAGTAATAAGCTTAAGCATTAGAAACAAGGCTAAGAAAGAGAGACAATAAAGTTTAAAATGAAAATAAGACAGAGCAGAAAGAAAGTGAAATAAAGTAGGATGGGAAACAGTAAAATATAAGATTTAAAATAAAAAATAGTGAACACCTAGGGATAGAATTGAAGAAATGTAACAACAACCCCAACATCAATGACAACTGAACAAATATTAATAAATGTAGAATGACAATAAGGATTTCATTAAAAAGGGAAAAAGAATGTGAGATTGCTAATGAAAGCAAAGATGATTTTGAGAGGATGGAGGGAGAAGAAATAGTAAGAGTGAGGAATAGAAACAAGGAGTAGAAAGGGAAAAAATATTTAATACAAAAATAAGAAAGAGAAGGATGAAAGCAAAATGGAGTAAGAGAAAAGAAGAGTATAATTTGAGTTTGGAATTAAAACTCAAATAATAAAATTAAGAAATATGTAAGAATAAAATACAAAATAGTGAGATAATAAGAACAAATTGAAGACAAAGAAACAATGTCAAAAAGCTATGCAGAAGAACAAAATAGCACCAATAATGAAAACTAATAAGGTGGAACTTTTTCAGCAGAGTCTAGTATTTGTTCATTGTCTGCTCCTTCAGGATCTGTCCCTGATGTCAGTGGCAGTTTCAGTCTAGCTTTAGGCAGCCTGTTCAAAGCTATAAGTGATCCATAATCTGTGGCTGTCTCCTTCAGGCTTGGCCGGTCTCCACTGTTCTGCCCTGCTCACTTTTTATCAGCACAAGGCCAAGGGGTGGTTCATTTAATGTCCAAAGCACCACATGTACCATCTCCACCTGCCTCCTGTGGGGGCCTCTGGTGCAATCAGGAGAGTGAGATCCCTGGATCATCCCCCAGGAGGTACTGTTCAGCCTTCAGGGAAGATGGTGGGTATGTTCTTTGCCCCTGTGCCACACATCTTGGTCTGTCCCAGATTATTTTTACTAATCTATAGCTTCTGATGAATTATTTGTCTGTTTCATGTGAGGGTCCAATCTGTGTAAAAGGGTCCACTCTTTCTTACTTGGTGCTGATGGCAGTTCTGTGTGAGAGCCAAAGCTGGGTGGGGTCCTGAGTAACTCTTGCTGTGCCAATTTCTAATCTCTCTGCTTTGCTGTTCAATGGATAGGTCCTGAGGAGGAACCAGCACAGTGTCTGATAAAAGTTCATAAAGGGCCCCTTTAGAGATTCTTTTTCTTACCCCTGAGGATACACACCAGGCACAGGACTCTTGAACCGGGCCTTACAGAGTTTGCAGTCCTGCAGGTGGGGGATGGGCATTTTCCCCCTTTCCATAGGTTTATATTCTGAGGTTTGGGTGTCCCTGCCTGACTGCAAAGAATCTCAGGTACTCAGCTCCAGCCCATCCAGTTCCTAGCTCATTGCTCCTGCAGGAGATTCAGACCCCAACCTTTTGCTCTGCATGCAGCCCCCTGCATATTAGTTGGACTTGGGGTTCCACAATCCCTTTGCTGTTCAGCCTTCTGCTCTTCCTGCCCAGCTGGGTTCAGTGGACATGAACTGTGCTTTGAATCTGGCCTCTTTGCTGGCAGGACAGCTGTGTGTGTGTGTGTGGGTTCCCTGCTCAGCCATACCTCCACTTCACTCTTTAAAAAAGTCCCTGTGTAGCACCCACACTGAAGCTCTGAGCCACTGTGAGGCTCTCCACACACTTCACTACCCCAAAGGCAAAAGGTCTTTCTTGGTCAGGGCTGGCCACAGCCTGTCAGTACCTCTGATAGCCAGAATTTGTCACCTGGACTCTCCCAGTTGGTGCTGCAGCCATGGATATTCTGCTTGCTGTGTGTGCAGCCCAAGTTTCCCAGACTCCATATATTCTCCCAAGTCTCTCCCAATTAGGGTTGGGAGTTCCCTGTGCAGGACAAAGCCCCCCCCCACTCTGAGAGAGATGGGAACCCCGGAGCTGCACTGTGTCTCCTCTGCTCTCTCCTTTGCTTCAGTCACTTCATGTAGGATATTTCCCCTTCAACTTGTAAAATCTTTTACTGGGTGGAACAAAGCCTCCTTTTCACTCCTTGGCTTCAAAAATTCATATCAGCTAAGATTTTGTTGATTGTTCAGGTCACTTTTTAGAAGATCAGTTGAAAATCAGTTGAAGATCAGCTGGGGACACAAGCAAGTGGGCTCAGCTTCCACCTACTTGGCCACATCTTCCAAACTCCACACTTCTTATCTTACTATTTTATCTCTGTTTTTTGAGAGTTGAACCCCTCAGAGAAAGCAAATGCCATATTTAGAATTCGCATGTTTGTCTGTAGAATCTACATCTGCAAACTGTCAGAACTACCCAATTCTCCATTTAGATGGTTACCATATAGCTGTTCTTCTATGCTACATGGAGATTTACACAGTATTTTGTATATAGTACAGATTTCTCCAGAGGAAAAATTTCTCATGGACAGGCAGACCAAAAGTATCTCATTGAATAGACACACCAGTTAGTTCTTCAATTTCAAAGCAACCAATAGCACTTCACCTCCTGGGATGCTTTACTACAAACTTGATTTGGAAATCATTAAACTGTAAACTGTCTTGAACTCATTCTCTAGGAAGTAGGTTGTAATCAGGTCCCTCCCCTTTTGCCTTTAAAAGGATGAATCTTGCAAATACAAACCTGAGTTTTCTGTTGCCAATGACACTGGTTATGTGAACATCCATAAGCAAGAGACATCTCTTATGAAAGCAGTGGCAAGTGTGGGGCCCATTTCTGTTGGTATAGATGCAAGCCTTATATCTTTCCAGTTCTATAAAAGAGGTAAGCATTTGTCTTTATATAAATTTAGGCATAAAAATTATAAAACCACCCTGACATACCAGAAGACTCTCTCTTCTTTATGTAGAATTCAATATAGAATTTCTGAGTGTGTGGATTTAACATAGGTGGGCATCCTATATATGTAATATTTGTGCCAGATGTTGTCCATTTGACAATACTTAAACCACATCCCCATGATTTTAAGTGCTTTGTAAATATATCAAGTGGCTACATAATTTGATCAATACAGCTTAATTTACTTTATTTTTTAAAAATTGGTAGACATTTAAAATGTTCAAAGAATTTGCCCTGGATAGTGTGGCTCAGTTGGTGGGAGCATCACCCCACAAATCACATGGTGACAGTTCATTCCCTGGTCAGGGTACATGTCCAGGTTGTGGGTTCAATCCCCAGTTGGGTCATGTACAAGAAAGCAGCCAATCGATGTTTCTCTCTCACATCTATGTTTCTCTCTCTCTTTCTTTCTCTTCTTTCCTTTCTAAAGGCAACAAAAAAATGTCCTTGGGTGAAGATAAAAAGTTTTTTTAATTTTCAAAGAATTTTACTACTGAAATTAAAACTGGAAAAACCCTTGGTTCAACTAATTTTGTGTTCTGTGCTGTTTTCTTAGACTGACATCCTAAAACTAGAATAAAGTTTCAATGAGTGGTCTTTTATGTCTTTTGACAAGTTGTTTTTAAAAGTGATAGTGGTTGTCCTGGCCAGGTGGCTCAATTGGCTGGAGCATTGTCCCATATATGAAAATGTTGTGGATTTGATCCCTGATAAGGGCACATACAATACCTAGTGGCAATTTGTATTTCTATTAATATTACAGAAGGGCCTAGCACCCTAGGCCTAGATTTTTTTTAATCTTTTTTTTTCTTTTAATACTCACCCGAGGGTATGTCTATTGGTTTCAGAGAGAGGAAGGTCAGGGGTAGGGGGAGAAAGAAACATCAATGTGAGAGAGAAACAGAAAAACATTGATCAGTTGCCTCCAGTACATACCCTGACCAGGGATCAAACCCACAACCTAGGTTTGCGTCCTAACTGGGAATTGAATCTGCAAACTTTTGGTGTATGGAACAATGCTCCAATTAACTGAACCACCTGGCAAGGGCAAAAAAAATCTTGTTTTTAAATCTTACCTAGATTTATGTTATTTGACTGAATTTGGGGATGCTTCCCTTATGGTGGTTGATAGGCTGAATTACTATCATGTCTCACTAGGAGGTTCTCACCCCAACATTGACGTTTACTTTCTCAGGTATTTATTATGACCCAAAATGCAGCCCCAAGAACCTGAATCATGGTGTTCTGGTTGTTGGCTATGGCTTTGAAGGAGCACTACTGGATAACAATAAATATTGGATTGTCAAGAACAGGTAAAAAATGCCACAAATAATTATGTTTGATATTGGGAAGGGAATCCTTTTTGGAAACAGTATTTGGATATAGGTACTCAACCTTGAACACACTTCTGAAATCCCAGAAGTCTTTATCCCACTTAGGGTGAACACAGACATGAATATTTGCATATAACATGAAGATATTATCTCAAGCATGCCAAAGCATTTTTAAAACATATTTTATGGATTATGCTATTACAGTTATCCCATTTCCCCCCTTTATTCTCCTTCACCCTGAACCCTCTCTCCCACCTGCATCCCCTCCACCCCCCTCCCTTAGTTCATGTCCATAGGTCATACATAAAAGTTCTTTTGCTTCTACATTTCCTATGCTATTCTTAATCTCCCCCTGTCTATTTTCTACCTACCATTTATGTTACTTATTCACTGTATCTTTTCCCCCATCTTCCCTCATCCCCCTTCACACTGATAACCCTGCATGTGATCTCCATTTCTATGGTTCTGTTCCTGTTCTAGTTGCTTGCTTAGTTTTTTTTAGGTTCGGTTGTTAATAGTTGTGAATCTGTTGTCATTTTACTGTTCATATTTTGCATCTTCTTTTCCTTAGATAAATCCCTTTAACATTTCATATAATAAGGGCTTGGTGATGATGAACTCCTTGAACTTGACCTTGTCTGGGAAGCACTTTATCTGCCCTTCCATTCTAAATGATAGCTTTGATCGCTTCTCGGCCTTTTGGCTAAGATCAAGTGTAGTAAATGATAGCTTTGCTGGATAAAGTAATCTTGGATGTAGGTCCTTGCCTTTCATGACTTGGATTACTTCTTTCCAGTGCCTTCTTGCTTGTAAGGTCACTTTTGAGAAATCAACTGACAGTCATAGGGGAACTCCTTTGTAGGTAACTGTCACCTTTTCTCTTGCTCCTTTTAAGATTCTTTCCTTATCTGGAATCTTGGGTAATGTCATTATGATGTTCCTTGGTGTGTGCTTCTTTGGGTCCATATTCTTTGGGACTTTCTGAGCTTCATAGACTTCCTGGAACTCTATTTCCTTTGCCAGGTTGAGGAAGTTCTCCTTCATTATGTTTTCAAATAAGTTTTCCATTTCTTACTCTTCCTTTTCTCCTTCTGGCCCCCATATGATTTGGATGCTGGAATGTTTAAGGTTGTCCCAGAGGTTCCTAAGCCTGCCTTCATGTTTTTGAATTTTTGTTTCTTCATTCTATTCTGGTTGAATGTTTATTTCTTCCTTCTGTTCCAAACTGTTGATCTGAGTCCTGGTTTCCTTCTCTTCACTGTTGGTTCCCTGTACATTTTCCTTTATTTCACTTTTCGTAGCCTTCACTCTTTCCTCTATTTTGTGACTATACTCATCCAATTCTGTGAACATCCTGATCACCAGTGTTTTGAAGTGTGTATCTGATAGGTTGGCTATCTCTTCATCATTTAGTTGTATTTTTTCTGGAGCTTCGTTCTGTTCTTTAATTTGGGCTTTTTTTTGTCTCAGCATACCTACTATGTAGTAAGGGGCAGAGCCTTAGATATTCACCACGGCAGGGCCACACGCATTGCCACATTGTGGCTCTGTATCTGGCGGAGGGGTCCAAGAGGGAATAATTTCACTTGCTGGGCTCTCAGCTGGCTTTCAGTAACTTCCTCCACTACCCACAAACAAATTGGGCCCTTCTGGTGCTGATTCCCAGGTGGTGGTTTTGTGTACATTCTAGGACTCTGTAGGTCTTTCCAACAAATGTTCCTGTGAGGCTGGGAGTTTCTCCTGCTGCCACAACTCCCACAGGTTTTTTCAGTCATATGTTTTGAGGCTTTCTTTCCCCTCACTGGAAGCCTGGATTGTGGGGTCTGTCTCATTTTCCAGTTGTTCCTCCTGGTTTATCCACATGCAAACGTTGGAGCCCCCAGTCTGCCAGCTGCCACCAGCTGTTACTACTCTCCATCTCAGCTGCCCATCTCTGCCCCTCCTACTGATCTGGATGAATGTTTCTTCTTTAACTCTTTGGTTGTCAGACTTCCATGTAGTTCAATTTGCAGGCAGTTCTGGTTATATTTTGTTTTTAAATTTGTTGTCCTTCTTTTGGTTGTGTGATGAGGCATAGTGTGTGTGCATATGCCTCCATTTTGGCCAGAAGTCCTCAAGCTGGCCAGGGCATTGATACAGTTTTATTACCATTGCATTTCTAAATTTGAAATTTTTAAAAATTATGAAACACATCTGGCCCCAAGAATTTTCTTTCTCAATCTAATTTTGTACTTCTGTGAAAAGTTTTTGGATAGAAGTCATGTGCAGGTTTTGAACTCAGCCATGAAAAAGAACAGCTGACTCTCTTGCTACTTTCTGAATCTGTGTGGGCTTCAGGTGCACTGTTTAAGTGTCAGGCATTATTGCTAACAAAGATAAATGTGTCTGATTCTTTGTATAAGATGGAAAACCCTCTCTACTTTCAGCTGGGGTACAGTTTGGGGTATGAATGGCTACATAAAGATGGCCAGAGACCGGGACAACCACTGTGGAATCGCCACTGAGGCCAGCTATCCTACAGTGTGAGATGCTGGTGGTAAAGAGAAACTTAATTGAGCCAGAATGTCCAAAGGAGGAATTTTATCTGAAAACTGACCAGACTGTATTGTGTGGGATAAAACCCTTGAGTCTTGAAGATCTAAGCTGTGATCTGAATTGTGTGACATTTTACACTGCTAAAATGTTACCACTTCTTTAATTATTGTATAAAGAGTTTGGTACGATTGACTTGCCTAATAACTTTTGCACTTTTATGTTTTAAAAGGATGTATACATTTTTATCTTTTAAAATAAAACTCAATTTCAAAGTAAAGTTGGGGCTTCTTTTTGTTTTTAAAACATTAACTTTTTGTATGGTAAAAAGTGTGATTAGGCTCTAGAGACATAACTAAAGGTGCCAGTGGCCCATTGGAAGGGGTGCAAGGGGCCTTCTGGATCTTCTAGTGATAAATATGAAGCTCTTAAGTCAGCTGCCCATTAGTTGTGCCTGACCCAACCCTTAGATAAAATAAAATTTGACAAGTGATCCATAAGACAAAGGTAAATTATTTTAATAAGGAAAAATTCACATATTAAATAAGTGGCTACACATATATAAGATTTCCAGAGTAGAAAGAGGCCTAAGAGGTCATGGCCATTTGACTAAAGATGGTTACAATCCAGCTGAATTACAAGACAAATTTCACAGTGTCAGTTTCTGAAACATTTTCTCCAACTGCTTGTAAAAATCATGTGGCTACTTTGCAGTGGAAGAAGCACCAAAGAGTGGAGTGCTGAAAATGTGTGTTTTGGGGGCTGAAAGGAATGAAGAATAAGCTCCTGGGTTTAGAGCTGAAATTGAATAGTGCTGTGGCTTCAGAGGTAGGAAACAAGTGAGGGCATCAGAAGTGAGAGTCTGAGGCCTGATTCCCATCTAGCTACCTCATTCCTGAATTTATTTATTTTTTTAATTTTTATTTCTTTCTTTTCAGAGAGAGGGAAAGGGAAGGAAAAAGAGAGGGAGAAAAAAAATCAATTTTTTGCCTCCCACACACCCCAGCCTGCCACATGCCTTGACTAGGAATCAAACTGGCAACTCCTTGGTTTTTGGAATGACACCCAACCCACTGAGCCACACCAGTCAGGGCCAGGATTTACTTTTTAAAAAGAAAAATTTCCTATTTTCTACAGTCTAAAGAAGTATATAGTTCCATCTGTTGTCTTTGTGTTTAAAGTTCTCATGTTGCCACTCAAAGAAATGTAAATAGATGAAAGTATTTATTTAATGGATCCCACAATTCCTTATGAGGACATGAAGTGGAGGACAGCTAGGGTCTTAGCTCCCAAGACCTCCAGCAGCCACTGTTCAAGTGTATCTGTACGGGACCATGTGCCCAGCTGGACCCTCGCTGTGGTCTTCCCTCATAGGTCCTTCAATTTATAACTTTTTTACCTAAAATGGCAAAAGTGTTTAGAGTGAAAGTCTACAGGTTCTGTGACAGTACTAACAAGTGTGGTCACAAAAAGATTTGAGGGTTTTCGAACTGAATCCCTTTTGCTGATTGGAACCTATATTAAAACATCTGGATTGATGTAACCCCCAACTGTGTCCCAGTCATTGCCTTGTGGAAGAGACATTCCCAACCTCAAATAGGAGCAGGTGTAATTAGGGAGATCCTGGGAATACCAGGAGGAAGAGAAATCTGATGTGAACCCAGAGGAGCCAGTCAATCAGACAGGATAAAAAGGTGAGTCTCTGAGCAGAGGCTCATGGTCAGAATCCTTAAGAAAAGAGAAACCAAATTTAGAGAAAGTGGGAAGTGAGTGAGCCAAGGTGTAGAAGATGAGGCTGGGTCCACATGTGGGATTTTAGGATACAGGGGAACCACTGGAGAATGCAGAGTAAAAACTGTTCTGCTTATCTCTTACTGTAAAACAAACACCTGGAAATGTACCAACTTGGAAAAAACAGTCTTTCCCATTTTCTAACTGGGCTTACCTATGTGGTTTTCCACTGGAAGTCTCTAATGCATGCTGCAATCTGCGAGTTTGACTGGGCTCATATATGCAAGCAAACTCATTCACATGACTCTCCTAGATGCTGGTGTGGGCTGGGCATTCAGCCTGGGCTGCTGACCAGAGCACCTACATGGGCCTCTCCCTGGCTTGGGATCCCACAGCATGAAGATCCACTCTGAGAAGAATGTACCTAGAGACAGTGTGCCCAATGAGGACCTGCAAGGCATCTTATGACTTTGTCTCAGTCCCAAGTGAAGTCTCTGCTGCTGTGTCATATTTAGAGGATGTCACTGGAGGGCCCAGGTTCTAGGGAAGGGGGCTGAGACGTGACTACCTGATTGAAAGAGATAAAGTCACTTAGCAGAAGAGCATGTGACATGGAAGATATGGTTGTGACCATCTTTGGAAAATATAAACTTTTACATTTTGTCTTTGAAAATCCACTAGAAAGGATTTCTTTGTGACTGTCATCCTGCTTCACAATAACAGGCCAGCTCAGGTGCTGTCCATGGAATCCTGGAATCCAGACTCAGACTGAGAAATTGCCTAGGTGCTGATATGAACAGAAGAAAGAGTGAAGACCTCTCAGATGTTGAAATGATTAAACACATAATAAGTTTTTGTACTTTTTAAAGACATGTTTAAACTTGGAAATAGTTTCAAACTAAATGATGTCTAAATAATTAAACACATATTAGAAGTTTCTGTAACTTTCAAACACATAGTATTAACTTAAATTTGTGAAAAGTTCCAGGCTATACCTATAATATTTTTAAAATAAGCCAATGAGCATAAATTGAATAAGCTGAAAACAGTTCAATTACATGAAAGTCTTATCTGAAACATAAATTTAATATCCAAAGCTGGAAGAGGCAACAAAAGATTCAGGCCTGGCAGCCCTCAGAGGGAATATTGCCTAGCAGGCACTCTAGTTTTGAATTCTAGCCTCTAGATTATCATAATTAAGCATACAAGTTTGTGGTAATATGGAATGTCAGCCCTGGGATAGTAATGTACCTATTTCTATACAGCTAGCCTCATGTTCTACTCAGCAAACCAGGGGGCACAACTGGACTCATCTGGTCAAGACCAGATGGACAAATCAGACTTGGTGAACATTCACGCAGGACAAGAAATCTGTCATCTATAAATGGTTTTCAGCCACTCATTACATGCATCAAGGCCTACTTTTATTGTCACAAGTTTGCTTTTAGTTTCTTAGGATTCAGTGAGCTCAACGAAATGCTGTAGTCCACAAGGGAATCAACTGAGATAGGAGAAATCTAAGTGATAGGAGAACTCAACATGGCTTAGCCTGGGTATCATTGGTAGCAGTGAGTTTAGAAATGTGCCAAATAGAAAAAGTCACAAGAAGGTTTGGGAATCTTTTGCCTCCTCACATGTCCTCTCTCGTCTAAGTCTAGCACAGCTGGGGTTAGTACCAGAAATAATACCTTATAGAAAGGCATTCTCACACATCAAAATGCACTTAAAACATGTGTTGCTTCTTTCTGTTTTAACTTGGTGATAATTAATGTGTTCTTTACTCTTGGGTACCACTTTCAAGGGATGACATCAATCATTTTCTGTTTTTCTTTGTGAAGGAGAAAAGATCGTAAGAAATATATGAAGGAAACATAGGAAATAATGTAAATAAGACTGAATATTACACATGCTCCTCAAAAAGTAGTTATGACCCAAGATGGCCTACCTCACAACAGGGAATATTGCTGCTCTTTTGGACACTGAATTTCTGATCTCTGACAATAAGTCCTCTGCTGAGATCACTGCATCTGAGGTTTTGTGCTCATTCCCCTGGGCTTCTTTTGGGGGTTTTTTTTGTTTGTTTTTTGGTTTTTTTGGAGCTCAGCTGCATTGAGATAGTAATGCCAGTCCGCACTTCCTCCCATACCACCATCATTCTCTCTGGAAGTCTTGGGAGCCTTTGTCACATGGTTATCCTACTGTCCTGGGTTTCAGTCTAACTTCCAAAAGTAGCTGCCTGGGGATGAGCTTCATTTCCCAACAGAAACCCCCTGAGCCTGAGAATTTCCTTTGTTAAGGAATAGACCAAAAAACACAGTCTCTGGTAGAGTTCACCATTTCCCTGCTGGGAACCTTCCTTTATCTTCTTCCCATTCACTTTCTGAGCTATCAAATACAGACCAGGTCATTCCTGAGAGGTGGTGAGAGTGACATTATGGAGGAAGGATGCCAAAACCCTTGAATACAGTGCTTTTTTAATGTTTGAAATACTATTTTACTTATACAGTCTTTGTATGTGTTTTCTGTCCCCTTCCCCCAGGTGTGTACAAGGCTCATCCCCTCTATTTAAAGTGGCTGAAATGTCACCCTCTCCATGAACTAAAATTAGAATAACTTCCCCTGGCATTGTTCTCCTATTTCCTGATTTATTTTTCCCATAGTATTTATACCATCTGACATACTATTTCATTTTATTTGTTGGTTTTGTTTATTGTGTCTCTGTACACATCAGCATTGAATCTATACAGAGATCAAGGAGTTTTGTTTTGTTCACCTCTCCATCCTCAGCACTAAGAACAGCGCTAAGGACCTGGCAAACAGTAGATACACAATAAAATCTGCTGTCCAAATGAAATGGCACACCTGAGTTATATATGAATATATTTCATAGTTTTGAGTCAAGCACTAGAGGTAAAGCAAAAAGACCCCTTTCAGTACTCTACCTCCCCAAAACATCCCCCTTCCTCAGGGGGATAACCATAACTATTAACTCAGAATGTTAATAGTCCTCTAATTTGTCTTCACCCAAAAAACACATGTAGTTTTGTTGTGTGCTTTTTAAAATTTTTTACAAAGATGGCATTCTATCATATCTATTTACAAGATGCCCTTTTCACCTACCATGATAGCTTGGTCATCATCCTTGTTTGTACTTCAGAGTAGGCTATGGTACCTAGTTCTTTGGTCAGACACTATTCTAGAGATTGCTGTGAAGTTACTGTGTAGAAATTATCAACATTTATAATCAGTTGACTTTAAGTAAAGAAGGAAACTGGATACCCAAATGAAAAAGAATGAAACTTCACCTTTATTTTTCACCACACACAAAAATTAACTCAAATGAATAACCAAGGAGGCTACCATCTTTTCAGATGTTTATTGACTCTTTGTATTTTCTCTTCTGCAAGTTTCAGTTTTCTATCTTTAGTTTATTTCTCTACAGATAGTTCATCTTTTCCCTCTTAATATATGATTGTTGATATTGATTTTTTGTTATATATGTTACAAATATTTCCTCTTAAGCTATCAGCTGTCTTTTAACTTTGTGGAGTGTTGTTTTTATTTTGGTGTAACCACATCTGTCTTTCCTTTATACCCTTTGCTTTGTGTCTTTTGGTCCAATTTAAGGTCATAAATATAGCCCCTATTATATTTCTGTAATACCTTTATATTTTTATGCTTTATATTCAATTCTGGAATTCATCTGCAGTTAATCTTTGGGGATCTATCTAATCTTATTTTTTCTCAAATGACTAGGTAATTATTCATACACCAGACATTCTTTCCCCACTACTTTGAAAGAGCATGTTTCCTTCTTATTTTTTCAAATAATCTATTAAAATTATGATATGGTTTTTATTTTTTGAAGTGTTAATGAGTCTGCCTTCCAGTTACTAAATCCTATCTGCCAAAGTATAATGGAAACCAGTGAATAATCCCATCTTCCCCAAGTGAGAATGTATACCTGTACAGTGTACATTTGCAAAATGATTGAAAATGGAACGAACAATGGGGTCTTTCTACACTGAGAAGCTGATCAGGAGGAAATGAGAAACCTAGAGAAAAAGGATTCTCAGCTCACTTTGGCCAGAGAGCACAATCACCAGTCTTTCTGAACCCTGCCTGTGGAAGCACTGGTCCCTCAGGCACCATTGCCCCCCATCTCTTGGCATCTTTGATATGTAGCCTTTGAGAATGGAATGAGAGTCCCATGCTCTTCCCTAGTTCCCTGTTTTTAATTTGATGTGAAGAAACCCAGAGTCTCAGCTTGAAGAAGAATGCATATGAATGGTGAATAGATCTTTCTTGAGCATCCACTACCATTCTTCAAAGCAACATACACCATTATTGAAAGTTCTGTCTCTCAGCTCCAAGTAAACCTTCTCCTCCTGGCTCTGTAGTCTTTAAACTATGTGCTGTAAACTCAGCAAATCAAGGTATTCATAAGAGATCTTGAACTGAAGATTTCAGTTTGAATCTTTGAGATATACATTTCAAATGGAGTATCTAATAAAGTATCTAATCAATATCCCATTGATTAGAATAAGAATTCTGCACTGGCTGGTGTGGCTCAGTGGGTTGAGCATGGGTCTGAGAACCAAAGGGTCACCAGTTCAATTCTGAGTCAGGGCACATGCCTGGGTTGTGGGCCAGGTCCCCAGTAGGGGGCACATGAGAAGCAACCACACATTGAAGTCTCTCCCTCTCTTTCTCCCACCTTCCTCTCTGTCTAAAAAATAAATAAAATATTTTTTTAAAAAAGAATAAGAATTCTTTCTATGAAAAGAAATTATTTTTTAAGACTTTATTTTTTTTTATTTTTAGAGAGAGACAGAGGGAAGGAGAAGGAGAGGAAGAGAAACATCAACATGTGGTTGCCTCTCCTATGCCCCCCACCAGGGAACTGGCCTGCAACCCAAGCATGTGCCTTGACTGGGAGTCAAACCAGTGACCCTTTGATTCACAGGCCTGTGCTCAATCCACTGAGCTACACCAGCCAGAGCTGGGAAAAAAATTCTTTGTTCCTTTTTGGAAACATAAAAATTTTTTGTTTTATGTATTTTTTATTTATGTATTAAAAGTTGGCTACCTCTGTTACTGCAGCCAAGCCATAGTGGACTGAAGAACAATGTTGAGTCCTGAATTAGAATCAAGTGGAAATCTCCTTTAGGTTGTATGAACTACCCTGCCCTAAGCTAAAGTGGAAAAGGAGAGCTTGACTTTCTCCCATAGCTTCTCCTAGCTCTCCACCTCCACACTGCTGCCTTTTGCCTTAACCTAATGCATTATTTTAAAGGATTTTCTAATGTGAATCATTTTTAACTCTAAGTTATATTTTATTGTTTGTACTATTACAGTTGTTCCAATTTTTCCCCCTTTGACCCTGTCCACCCAGACCATCCCCACTCTCTTAAGTAATCTCCACACAGTTGTCCATGCCCATGAGTCTTGCATATATATTCTTTGGCTGCTAAATTTTCTATTCTGTACTTTACATCCCCGTGACTATCCTGTATCAACCAACTTATACTTCTTAATCCCAACACATTTTTTGCCCCTCCTTCTGGCCCCCCTCCCCTCTGGCAACCATTAACATATCCTCTGTATCTATAAGTCTGTTTCTGTTCTGCATGTTCCTTTATTCCTTTATTTTGTTTTTAGATTCAATTATTGATAGATATGTTTTTATTGTCATTTTATTGTTCATATTTTTTGTCTTCTTAAAGAAGACCCTTTAACATTTCATATAATACTGGTTTAGTGGTGATAAACTCCCTTAGCTTTTTCTTGTCTAAGAAGCTCTTTATCTGTCCTTACTCTAAATGGTATCCTTGCTGGGTAATCTTGGTTGTAGGTTCTTGCTTTTCATCACTTTGAATATTTCATGCCAATCTCTTCTGGCCTGCAAAGTTTCTGTTGAAAAATAAGCTGAAAGTCTTATGGGAGCTCCTTGTAGGTAACCAACTACCTTTTTCTTGCTGCTTTTAAGATTCTCTCTTTGTCTTTAAGTTTTGGCATTTTAATTACGAGGTGTCTTTGTGTGGATGTCTTTGGATTCATCTTGTTTGGGACTCTCTGCATTTCCTGGACTTGTATGTGTATTTCCTCCGCCAAGATAAGGAAATTTTCTGTTATTATTTTTTCAAATAGATTTTCAAGTTCTTGCTCTCTTTTATCCTTCTGGCACTCCCATATTGTGGTGAATGTTTGTACATTTGAAGTTATTTGGGAGGCTCCTTATACTATCCTCATTTTTGGACTCTTTCTCCTTCTTACTGTTCTGGTTGGGTGTTTTTTACTTTCTTGTATTCCAAATCACTGATTTGATCCTGGGCTTCATCTGCTCTACTGTTGATTCCCTGTAAATTGTTCTTCATTTCAGTTAGTGTATTTTTCATTTTTGACTAATTCTTTTTTATGGTTTCCATGTCCCTTTTAATGCTGTTGAAGTTCTAAGTTCATCTACTCTTCTCCTAAGTTCATTGAGTATCTTTATAACCAGTATTTTGAACTTTGTATCTAACAGATTGCTTGCCTCCATTTTGTTTAGTTCTTTTTCCTGGAGTTTTTTTTTTTCTGTTCTTTCATTTGAGCCATGTTTCTTTGTCTCCTCATTTTGGCAGACTCCCTATGTTTGTTTCTATGTATTTTATTGAGCTGCTACAACTCCCCAGCATGGTAGAGTGGCCTAATGTAGTAGGTGTTCTGTAGGATCCAGTGGCACAGACTCCCCTATCATCCAAGCTGGGTACTTGAGGTGTGCTCATTGTGTGGGCTGTATACATGCTCCTCTTGTAGTTGACCTTTGATTGCTGTTGACAGGTCAATGGGAGGGATTTACCCAGGCTGATCAGCTGCAAGGACTGTCTGTGACCACTGACCACCAACCTCTGACCACCATGGAAGATCAGTTACACAAGGGCCACTCCACAGAGCAGAATTTATTTCAGCATGACTTTTGTGCTCACTGAGTCTGTCCTTTGAGTGTGTTGCTTGTAGAGGTAGTTGGATGGTGGTGCTCTGACATGGTCTGTAGCTGTTCATGGGGTGTGCAGGCTCTGGGTCCACCAGGGAGGTGCAGGCCAAGGTCAGCCAATACCTGTGAGCCCCTGGCATAAGCTACAAAGTGATCTGCAGTTGGCTGCTACTTATGCTGGGCCTGGAATACCTAAGTGAGGCCACGCTGTGAACCAAAGCCAACTGCTGCTAGTGCTGGGCTTGTGGCCACTTACAGAGAGTTATTGGTCTCCCTGAGGCCAGATGTTGCTTGTTTGAGAGAATTTAGGAAAATCTGAAGATGAGGCAAGATAAGACTTTCACATAGAAAAAACACTGAAAACAGCTTGAGTGGACCCAAAAGATGGGTGGGGAAGATCATCAGGGAATCACCGGGGTGGGGAAAACTGTGTCATTCAGGTTGATGGAGCCTCAGGTATGGTGCCTGCCTGCTGGCTCTGTGGCTCTGTGGGGGGAGGACTCAGAAAAGGAAAAATGGCCTCTTCCAGTGCTTCTGTCTTGGAGAAAGCTGTCCCCCAGGTCTCGCCTTGATACCAGACACTTCAGCTGCTCCCTGTATGCCTCTAGTGCCTTTCAAGCTGCTGCCTCATTGCTAAAGCTCAGAGGGAGTGAGTCTGAGTAAGCCCATACATGGGCTCTGTAAGAGGAACTGCCTGCAACTCCAGAAGTTTTTGTCTTTCATGGCCTCAATCCTCACTGTTTTTTACAGCTAGACATTATAGGGACTTATCTTCCTGGCACTGGAACCCTTGACTGGGGGGCCTGGTATGGGGCCAGGACCCCTCACTCCAGAAATACCCCTCCCATTTTTTATTTGTCATGTGTGGTTGTGGGAACAGTTTGTTCTGTATCTCTGCCCCTCCTACCAGTCTTGGTGTGGTTTTTTCTTTAATTCCACAGTTGTGGTACTCTATCCAGCTCAATTTGTGGCAGTTCTGAATAATCATTGGTTTGTAGCTTAGTTGTAATTTTGATGTGGTCATGCTGTATTTACATGCATGGTGTAAATGCATGGAGGTGGGCTATATTTACCTATGCTGCCATCTTGCAAAAAATTCTCTAATATGAATCATTCTTGATTTTCTAGTTAAGCTTGTTGTTATCCTGATGCATCTTTGTTTTAAATACTTCTGGATTTGATTCACCAATATTTCACTGATAATTTTTTACCTCAAAGTTCATATACACATATAGCAACTCTTGTTAACACAAGCTGAGATTTCTGATGCATATACCACACCATCCCAATTTTGACATAATATGGACAAATGAAGAGTCGTTCAACCAGTGCACTCTGGTCAAGCCCTAGGATTGATTGAAATATTTCTCCCCAAAACAAAAATACAAAGTCAATGGTCTGAGAAAAGTAGGTGTTAATTTTTAAATACTAACTTTGTTTAGCATGTTGCTTTCTTAATAGGTGACCTCATTTTTCCATTCTAACTTTTACCAGTCATTCAACTTATTGCTCCCAAAAAAAAGGTCAATCTGAAATTTTAGAATTCAATAGCCATGAGATTTTTAACTTTAACTTATCCAAAATAAGACAAGAACTCTGCTAAGATATTAAGGAAGCCATTTAAATATATACATAAAGCATGCATATATTCAGTATACATACTGAATTTAAGGAAAAAAAAGAATCACTACAGGATAAGACACTAAGTTTAAATTTTAAGTCAAGCAAGACAAATTCATAACTGATCTCTATACTTTTGACCCAAGTAGATAGCTACTGATTACTTGAGCTGACAGACTTAGAATTACAACTTTTTTTTCCACTGTTCATGACAAAAGGCAAATCAAAATTGTTCTTTTGACATGTAGATTTTTGTTTTTAGCCATTTATACTGACCACAGAGTTGCCTCTGGCCTTTAGACCTGTCATGAGTGGTTTGCTGCTGCTTTTCTGTTTGTGATTGGGTGGATGGGCCCTTTGTCACTCATCACCACTGTTTCTGCTTATCATTCATTTAGGGTCCTTAACACACAGGATACAAGACAAAAACAATAGGGTTTGCACAGTCTGATTCACTGCCTGCCTGCCTGGTTTTTTTGTACACAGGTGAGATATTCCTGCACATCATCTGGGGACCCCAGAATTAGGGGAACTCGTTGGTGAATAGCCTCAGGCTTCACATCCAGCACAGGCTGGGTGCCTGTGGTTGCCAAGCCTCCGGCCTGCTCAATGATATATGCCACAGGATTGCACTCATACAGGAGCCGGAGCTGCAGAGAAAGAGTCAGGCAGACACACTTTGTAAGTTGCCAAAAATCTCAAGCCATGCCCCTGAAGCTTGATGAGGAATTCCTGCTGAACTTCTGTCTTAGTCAAATAAGCTCATGCAACTCAGCAAAGAGGGCTGACCTGGATCTAGGCCTTCTATATCAGCTGCTGAGCACCTCTAGTCAGTAAGCTGTTTGACTTATTACCTCAATGATACACCTGCCTTTTTACTTGGGAGAATGAAATCTTGGTACCCTTTTCTCAATGGTTTCATAATGAGGTAAATGATTCTGTAGGCCTGGTTAGGAGACACCGTATGTGAGAAGTCAAGCTTGGATGGGACTGGAAGATCACCTCAGATCTAGGTTGTCTCTCAGGATGACAACAGTGTCCTGGATAGTGGAAAGGAACTCCACATCTCAAGTAAGTGTCAAGTTGCCTACATAGTTTGGCGGTATTGACATTACCTATTTTTTGGCCCTTTAGACTAAGTTAACTCCCATTGCTTATAGTCCATAGCATCCTGCACTTTCACTTTCCTAAGAGTTGTGGCAGTGAGGTTCATTTGATATCTGACTTCTTCCTTAGATGCCCTCCCTTGTGGGCATCTATCCTGATTGGTCACTGTGGCATCTCCATTCCCTGACACAAAGAAACTGTCCAAACATGGCTACCACATACCTTGAACAAGGGCTCCCAATGGAGGGCAGAAATAGGGAGTAAAATCAGCTCATGCCCTGCTTGCCAAACTGTGCACATAGACCTCGGGCTGAGCTGCTTCTGAGCATAGTACTTGTTACCTTTTGTAATAGACACTATAAAAACTATGAAATGGGTGGGAATAAATGTCTTTTCGGGGTCTATTTCTGTGATTATGTTGTGACTTCTTCCCCAGACTGCCCCCTACCACACACATCATATTACATCACATCACATCAGATTCAAGGTTACATTCTAGCTTCACTCTCTGACTAAATTATCACACTATTTTCTCATTCCTTCCCCCATAGGTGCAAAATCTGTATTTTTTAATAAAATTCTCTAATCAGCTTAGAAAGTGATTTACTTGGATCTGCGCAGACTTTTCCTTTCTTTTCTCCAGATCCATTTTGAATACATGTTGAAACTACTTGGAGAAACAGTCATATGTGGTGCTGATTTTTAATTTTTTGATATTGCATGGAGAAGAATAAAGTATCTCTAGTCTAAGTTGGAGAACCAGGCACTCAGGAAAAAGTAAGTTAAGACTCCAGGGCATTTACTTGCCATTCTGGTAAAACAGTGTTCAATGCCCTAACCCTAGACCTCCTGACTTTAGAATTGTGGGAGGCCTGGCAGGGGCACAGAGAAGCCCCAATGCATGTGGACACACTTGAGTCTAGTTTGGTCCCTGATCATCCACAGGAGGGACACTGGAGGCCATGCTTTCCTGGACTGGCCACCAGAAAGACTCTGACCTAGCAACTTGTAGAGCTTGGCTCTTTCTTCCCCTTTCCCTGATCTTGGAGGTGTGAGGGCAGGGGTTTTGTGGTGTCAAGCAATCAATGAAGTCTCAGGTTGTAACCAATCAAACTTTCTGTGTACCATGTTGATTCGGACACTTCAAAAAGTAATTTAAAAAATAAACACAGCATTCTCACATAGCTTGTCTTGGAGCCAAGGTTTGATTTGACCTTAAAATCTCATTGTTGTGGTAAACTCATCTTAAAACACAATACCAAGGTGTTCATGGTGCCTTGGCTTGTAGGCTGTGTGATCTATTTTTCCCCTGTGATTAAAATCTACATGGCTCTCCAGAGACAAGCACATACAGGAAAAGAGTCGAACAACCCCTCCCTTTCCCCCTGGTCCCTTATACAGATGTAGTCACAGAAACCATGATAGTTAAAACACGGAGGTCAGGAACCAATGGTACTTCCAATATTTGTAGTGGTTACAATGCAGTGCATATAGGTCTATATATGGAATTATACCTCCTTATGGAAATGATTATATAATTATTTGTGGGTATTTTCTAACAAATTTTAAATCATTTTAATAATTAGTAATAATTTGTCTTAATGTCCTTTCTGTTGGAACTGAATAGTTGGTAAGAATGGTTCTATTTAAGAGTTTCCTCATCTTTTTATGCATACTTTTCTGTGCAATAGGTTCATATACATGAGCTTAACACTCACATGAAGAGAAATACCTGATACACTAATCTGCATATTAAAACTCTTCTCTCTGTTCTCATTGCTGTTAGATTTCTCATCATGGCTTTGAATCAGCCATTCCAATAATTCAAATCTCCCACCCCAATACACACACACACACACACACACACACACACACACACACTCACACGGAGGTGGGGGTAGTGGTTGGTGTATTAAGTAGAAAATATGGCAATTTTTTATTTTGACTTGCCTACTTATCTATGATTTCTGTGAGTGGCTAAAAATCAGACACTTTTCCAAGGAAGGGTGTATTCAAGATCGATACATTTGAATCATAAGATTCCTACTTGATAATATGAGTATTTTCAGTTTTGTGTCATAAAATTGCTCAAAATCTTTCAGAATCTACCATTCCAGAAATACTGAATGAGTTCAGAGCTGAAGTTCTTTTATTTTGTATCCATATATGTTTTATTTTCACCACCCCTGGATCTCTCTAATAATCTCTGCTACTTGTTTAGCTTTAAGATTTTTATCCTTTATTCAAAACACTTCATACATAGCTCATATGTATTCTGTATCTGACATTCTTAATATCTGAAATTCTTGCAATTTAAGTGTATTATTTGTTGTTTTCTCTGTCACTCATACTATCTTGCTTCCATATGTATTTGTGATTTTTCATAGAAACTAATTGTTGCCTGCTCTTTAATTTTGAGAATCCTGTCAGCTGAAGTTGGGGATATATTTCTATAAAAAAGATTTGTTTCTGCTTCTGCCAAAAGTTGGAGAGAACCACTAACCCTTACTCTCTTGAGTTTACTTTGAGGGTCTCAGCTTAATGTGAGAGTCTCAGGTTTAGCTCCCTCATCTTTCTAGCAGTACAAGGCTTGCCATTCTGATCACACAATTAAAATGCTTGGGGAATTGGCCCACAAGGAACTCTGGTCCTCACCTTGCTTACTCTGCAGCTGGTTCATGATTTCTTTCCCACTTTTTGGGAGTCAGGGAATAGACTCAGAAATTTTTCCTATTTACTGTGAGTCCTGAAATGCTTTTTACAGTATATGTTATACAGGATTTAGTTTTTTGCAGTAGAAGGGAGTCCCTTAATATCTTGTTTACTGTAATGCAAGTACCAAAAGTCTATATAACTTGATATCATGCTTTTTAAGTTCTCTTTTAAGCCTTTATCTATGCTAGTAAACACTTATTATTAACATGATATCTATGGTTCCAAAATATTCTATTGCTTTGTTAGACCACTTTTTAATTATCCATTTTTCTATTGGATATTTAGAATATTTTCTCTCTTTCTTTCGTTCTTTCTTTCTTTCTTTCTTTCTTTTTTTTTTTTTTTGAAACCTTCTAGGGGATGGTGGACGGACTTCAGGATATCTGTGAATCCCCTGAACACATGTATGATGTATATGTTTACACACATTTTTCTGGGAAGTGGGCCCATAAGTTTCATTAGATTCTCAAAGAGATCTATGACACAATCAGTTGGTGCTGAAACTAAAAGTCAGACATACCATGTGGAAAGTGGGAGATAAACACAGCTGACTCATGGAGAATGATGGGCATGAGGCCAAAGGAAGGGAAGGCCAGAGAAATCACCAATGACAGCTTCAGCCTTCCCCTCCAAACCTACCACAGCTCAAAATTTACTAATGGGAAATATATTTCTTTTCTCCTGCCCAATCACAGAGAGACATACCAAGGACAAGGCAGTAGCTGAAAATCAGGTGTGAACAGAAAGGAAACTCCAACTGGCTCCCTGACCAAATGCAGCCAGTGGACAAAGGAGGATTACCTTGCCCTTCGGACTTTTCTGGTTCGCTGGGTATAGGAAAATCCCTCCATAGACCAGGGTGCGGTGCACATCGGCCACCATGGAACCCACATACCTGGCCCCATAGGGAGTACCACCATCCTAGAAAGCAAAGAAGGAAGAGACAAGATGTAGTGAGTTCTACAATTAGCCAGCACCAGCTCAGGGTTACATGTCCAGTTGTTATGGCCTCTAAGTTCCAGGGGCTTCAGAATTGAAAAACATCATATAATTAAGCATTTCATTCATTAGGAGCTCCCATACCATGACCAGTGATTGAACTCATTAAATATAGGACCACATAGAGTAAGACACTATATCCTGAAACAGTCTCTGAGAGCAACTGTCAAAAAAAAAAACGGAAGTATACACTGAATCAGAATATGCCACCTCAAAATATGCCAATTTGGCATATTGATTATTTTCTTTCTAAGTATATTTTATCAATTATGCTATTACAGTTTTCCCAATTTTTTTCTCCCCTTTATCCTCCCTCTGCCCTGCACCATCCACTCCCCAGCATTCCCACTGCCCCTTTAGTTCATGTCCATGGATTGTACATGTAAGCTCCTTGGCTTCTGTGTTTCCTATACTATTCTTAACTTTCTCCCATATATTTTATGCCTACTAATTATGCTTCTTATTCCCTGTACCTTTCCCTCCCAATTCTTCCCTTCCCCCTCTCCACTGATAACCCTCCATGTGATCTCCATTTCTCTGGTTCTGTTTCTGTTCTAGTTGTTTGCTTAGTTTTTGGTTTTGTATTTTAGGTTCAGTTGTTGATAGTTATGAGTTTGTTATCATTTTACTGTTCATAGTTTTTGATCCTCTTCTGTTTCTTAGATAAGTCCATTTAACATTTCATATAATACGGAGTTGGTGATGACGACCTCCTTGAACTTGACCTTATCTGAGAAGCACTTTATCTGACCTTCTATTCTAAATGATAGGTTGGCTGGATAGAGTAATCTTGGATGTAGGTCCTTGCCTTTCATGACTTGGAATACTTCTTTCCAGCCCCTTCTTGCCTGCAAGATTTCTTTTGAGAAATCAGCTGATAGTCTGATGGACAGTCTTTTGTAGATAACTGTCTTTTTTTTTCTCTTGCTGCTTTTGAGATTCTCTCTATCTTTCATCTTGGCTAATGTAATGATGATGTGCCTTGGTGTGTTCCTCCTTGGGTCCAATTTCTTTGGGACTCTCTGGGCTTCCCAGACTTCCTAAAAGTTTATTCCCTTCACCAGATTGGGGAAGTTTTCCTTCATTATTTGTTCAAATAAGTTTTCAATTTCTTGCTCTTGTTCTCCTTCTGGTGCCCTTATGATTTGGCTGTTGGAACATTTAAAGTTGTCCTGGAGGTTCCTAAGTCTCTCATCATTTCTTTGAATTCTGTGTCTTCATTCTGTTCTGTTTGGATGTTTATTTCTTCCTTTTGTTCCAAGTCATTGATTTGAGTCCCAGTTTCCTTCCCTTCGCTGTTGGTCCCCTGTATATTTTGCTTTATTTCATTTTGGGTAGCCTGCATTCCTTCCTTCATTTGGCAACCCAGCTTAATCAATTCTGTGAGCATCTTGATTTCCAGTGTTTGAACCCTGCATCACATAGGTTGTCTATCTCCTTGTTGCTTAGCTCTTTTTTTGGAGTTTTGATCTATTCTTTCATTTGGCCATATTTCTTTGTCTTGGCGCACCAGTCTGGATGAATGTTTCCTTTACTCCTTGGTTGTCAGAGATCCATGTAGTTTGATTTTCTGGCACTTCTGGTTGTTTGTTGTTTTTAAACTTATTCTTATCCTTCTTTTGGTTGTGTGAGGAAGCAAAGCACTTCTACCTACACCTCTCTCTTGGCCAGAACTCAGCATATTGATTATTTAAATTAAAGTTATTTAAGAAACAGCTGGTGCAAGAAGACACTTGGACCCTCCTTTGTTCCTCTGAAAGCAGGAAATAAATCTCCAATGTGAAAGGTGCCCTCTCTGCACCAGGAGGGAGAGAGACTTCCTTACCACCAGAGATAGGGAATTTAGGGCTGAGAAGGTTGTGTAAATGAAACTTGTTACTTCCTCACTAATTTACCACCCTTAGATCTAACTTCTTTGTCTTGTCAGTTCTTCACACATTCATTGTTTCTTTGTCTAGAAGTATATAAAATCTGTCTTCTTTGGTCACTTCTATGAGTCTCATATTTTTATTGAATACAAAAATTAAGTTGGTTTTCTCTTCTTAACCTGTATTATGTCAATTTAATTGTTCAACTAGCCAAAGAACCTAGGAAGGAAGAAAAGTTTTCCTCCCCTACCATTCAAAGAGTTCTCAGCAACTCCTTGAAACTTCTTGGCATACCATGCTTCAGAGCATATTTTAGCTTTCTGAGAGCCAGAACTTCATGAACCACTTTTGCACTTACTCCAAGCAGTGTTTACCACTGGCCAAATGTTAAACAGCTTTAGGAATCATTTTTCATTTAAAATAACATCAAAATGTTATCATTTAAATGTGTAATCCAAAGAAAAGATGATCTGAGTTATTTTGCATTACCTTCTTCCACTAAACTTTCAAAATCCAATGTGTATCTTACAGCACAACTCAGTTCAGACTGGTCACAGTTCAAGTGCTCAATAGCCACATATGGCTGTGGGCTGTTGTGCTTTAAGTGCAGATTTAATTGTAACCTTTTTCTTTTCACATTTCAAAGTTGTTAAAATGCAGAGTATTCTGTATTGTCTTTTTATAACTAAAAGTAAACCAATATACAGGGCCTGGCAGAAGTAAGGCCTGCTTGAGTGTGGTTGGTAGGGTAATAAAATGGGTGTAATAATTTGTACTTTTATTTTGAACATTTCACCTAAAATGTCATATAGTATGCTTGAGTGTGATATTGTTATGTTACAGAATTACATGCTTTTTATTTAAAAAAAATTTTATAATAAAAAAGGGGGCATTACTTCTGCTGGACCCTGTAGTGAAAAAAAAATTGTTTTCAAAGGGAAGAGATAGAAACAGTGTATAAAAACTATTTTTTCAAGAGAGTTTGGCTGCTATGTATCAAAAAAAGAATGGTTAACTAAGGTGACACAGGAAGGAAGGGAGTGTTGTTTGTTTTCTTATATATAATGAGAGACACGTAAGTGTATTTATAAACCAAAGAAAGAAGACAGAAAGGCAGAATGAGAAAGAACATACAGGAAAGGGATGTTAAAAATTTGGGAGTAGTCCATCCTTACTCATTGTCTTGGCTCTCTCCTTCTCATAAACAATATTCCCATGTATATTATATTTGCTTTCAGACTTCCTATTCTGATCACTGCTCTGATGCTCTGACTGTTCATGTGCTGGTGCCACATTGTTATAGTTATTGAGGCTTTATAATATCTGGTAGTACCACTATTTCCACCTGACTATCTTTACCCCTTAACATTCTCTTGCATTACCTATTTTTGTTTGTTCATTTTTAGTTTAAAATTGAGAATTAGTTTGCCTAGTCCAAAAAAAAACTTCATGATATTTTCTATTGAGAAATACTTACTCTTAATTGATCCATTCAATTCACATGGGTTACTCTCTCCCATTCTCAAACTAAATGACACCTCAAACTTTACTTTTAAATTTCTGTTAACAGTATGAAGTTAATGATGAAGAAAGATCCTCAAGATGAGAGGCAGTAAAATGGGAAGAGTAGAGTCATGGAAGTCAGAGGAGAAGAAAAATCCAACACAATGGCAGTGATCAATAATTCCAAATGCTCAAAGAGAATGAATAATATATAGTCAGAAAAGTTTTAGTGGACTTGACCACAAGGAAGTCATTATTAACTTTGATAAGAACAGTTCCCATGAAGTTGTAGGGGCAAAGGCCCAATGTTAGAGAACTGGATAGTAGAAAAGGAATTGGAAACAATGAATCATTTATTTGTGTGTGAATGTGTGAGTGTGTGCATCTTGGAGTGTGAATGTATTCATTGCAATGTAATGGAGAGAGTTTTGACATTGGCTGGAGCTGCAAAAGTAGGTGGAAGGGCAGAATTTTAGGATGAAAAATATGTATATTTATAAGCTGAGAGGAAGTAACTGGTAGAGAGCAAAAGGATTAAAATATAGGAGAAGGAAGATGGAGCGAAGATGAAGAGATGGGGCCAAGAGCATAGGCAGGAAGATGAACCCTGGACCTGAGGTCATTTGAAAAGGAAGAGATTGTCATCTGTTTGCAGGTGTGAGATGGAGAGCTGATGGGATATGTTTTCTCTGTCAGATAGAACCAAGGTCAAATACAAGATGCTGAGAGGCACCATCAGACTGGTAAACATGGTGACTGAAATTGTAGTACCACCATCTGCTTGGATGTATTCTTCAGTGCATGCATTGGAATGAAGGGTCAACTGGAGATTAATTCAGGGTCAGAAGAATGTTGAAGGATAGGGAGGTAAGCAAGTAGAAGAAGTAGGTAGATTGATATGATTAGTCGTAAGTTAGGCTACTGGGGTGTCACTAAAGTCAGAAGAGGAACAACGGACAGGGATAAAAGAACACTGACAATACATGGGACAAAGAGGAAGAATAAAGGGACATGATAAACTCCACATCATGGCTGGGGACATGACAGTATACTATGAACCAAACATTTTTGTCCCTCCAGAACTCATGTATTAAAATCCTAACCCCAATGCTATGATTATAGAAAGTGAAGACTGGGAGATGATTAGGTAATGAGGATGGCACCCTCTTGAATGGCATCAGTGTCTTCTAAAAAAACCCTGAGAGCTCCTTCACCTTTTTTACCACATGAGAATGCAGTATAAAGATGGCCATCCATAAATCAGGAAGAGAGTTCTCACCAGACACCAAATCTGCCAGCACCTTTATCTTGGACTTCTAGTCTCCAGAACTGTGAGGAATAAATTTCTGCTGTTTATAAGCTGCCCAGTCTATGGGTATTTCATTATTACAGTCCAAACAGTGAAAATAGAGTGTAAGAAATATGACAAGTTAGGGGGTTGTTTGAAGAGTAAACATGAAAGTCCACAGTTTCATAATTCAGCAATTCCTAAGAACTAATAATCCTTAGGATTTAGGTATAGAAACAGCTAGATGAATTGAATGGAGATGA